AACTTCACTATATTGACTGGACATTTTTCAATAGATGCATATTTTTTAGCTTTTGATTACACATTACATCAAATGTTACAAAAACTTTTGCAAATAGAACAACTTAACTTACTTTGAAGGACAAAATTACTAACGTGATTCGCTCTTTTCAGACAAGAAAAACAAGCACCTTTTTCAACAATCTTTGTTGTTTTTCAGCTAAAGTTTTTTTTTTTTTGCAGAGTAAACCTTTTTCACTAAAAATTTTTTCAAAATTACAGTTCAGAACACTCTTATCTGAATTCTCAAGACTTACTAGAGCTGATGCTGTTAGGGTCATTTTGCTTTACCTGTTTGTGGTTAAAATCTTTCTTCCGATGGTTCTGTTGGAAGCGAAACCAGTTCTTGCGAGGAGAACCATCTCTTCCCCTTAACTTCCTGTTTTAAGAAATTCATTAAATATTTCAAAGATCGATTCCCTTTAGTTCAAGGACTCGTGATTCTGCTTCTTTCCCATCCATCAACTTCTTCTGGTACACTTTGCACTAAGGGGTAAAAAAAATCCCCATATTTTTCTTGATTCTCCCCAAACTTTCCAGTGCCTCAGTTTTCCTTCTAGTTCATCATACAGGGAGGGTAGATCCGTTTTTTTTGCTCTCCACACAGCGTTTTCATTACTAGGTAACAGTCTCTATAGATTTGCACAAGTAAATCTTCGCATCCAAAGCGCTCTCTTGGTTTCGTGGCTTTAGGATAATTAGCTTGCCATTGCCGGGAAGCTAAGGACTAGGCGTTCTGCTTTCGATTTGGGTTCCATAGCCCTGCAACACTACTGCATTTTATCTTATCGCGATACTTTCTGTCGTCGTGGATTTTCTGGAACTGACTAAAAAGTCAGGTAATCTTTAGCTTTCCCACTGATTTTTTTCATTTTAAGGCAATTTAAAATTTCCTAAATTCGGAGTTACTTGGAGGAGAGGATGGCTTTATTTCCGCTATTTGAGCACACTGTTCTAGAAACTTATTCTCGATAATTCTCCGCTTCTTGAAAATCATCACTAAATAATTTTTCTCCATCTTCAGTCTGCAAATCTGCTGTGATATACACTCTGGCATACGTCAAGTCTCTGGAATTTATCACAAAGTTGACACTTCAAAATCGAAAGTATTTTTAAATCTCTTACTCTTTATTTAATTCACTTTCGGTTTTTGCTTGAGGTTTGCGAAAACGCAATTCTAAGTCCTTTTCTTTGGCCTTTAGCGATCAACTCCATCTTCAAAGTATATTCAAAATCGAATTCAATATCAAAAGTTCAATCGGAAAATTCTAATTCAAAGCACCCTGTCCCGCCGAGGATACCACTATTTACGAAGAACACAGAAAATTATCAATCAAATATATTCAAAACATTTGTTCATTGCGGCCTGCCTCTACCTGAGGCTGGGTGCATTATGAAAAGACAAAAAATTCTTATAAGTCATTCTTTATTTCCATCAAAACAGTATCACTCTTCCGAGATCAGCTTCGTTCGTCTACAAGCAAAACTTTCGAAACACTCAGCACGCAGGGACGTCACAAACAGCAGCGCCTCGCGCCGTTTACTTCAGTTCATTTCACAAAACTAGAAAGGAGAAGAGACATCCTGACTGCATTCAAGCACTGTGAAGAACAGTTAGTGTTATGATTTTGGTCATGCATGTCCGCAGATGGTATTTCGCCTTCATGTCATCGATGGGACACTGAAGCCAGAAAATACATTGACACTATTCTAGACCAAAACTTCTACCTTCCATGGGATGATCTCTTTCCCAACAATGCTTCGTTTATTTTCAGCAAGATTCTACTCTTGCCAACGGCGAAAATATGGGAAGAGTGGTTTCGTACAAAGAGCATAAATTGTTGTCATGGCCAGGAAACAGCCCTGACCTCATCCTATGAAAAGTTTGTGGCCCGTTTAAAAAATCTTGTCCGATGAGGCGCCCATCAAATAAAGGGACTAATGAGACTATAATTGTTTCCTGGCTCATTGTATAACAAGAAGGGCCTAAACTCTTGTCAGCTCAATGAAACGTTGGTGTGAAGAGTAATCAAAATAAGGGTACCCTACAAGTACTGATAACTCACTGCGATCATACTATCTAATGTATATCATAACTATTATCGTTTAACTTTTTTTTGTATGCAAATATTGAATTTGGTGTTTTGTATTGAATTCAGTAATAATTCTCTTTTAAAATATATACAAGTTTGCATTTTGTTAAACGTAACGGTTTCTATAACATACAAAAGTGTCCACAATTTTGGCCACCACTGTATACAGTAAAATTCCAATTTACATTTTTTGGGGTATTACTGGGTTTACAGTTTATAGATTATTTAATAAAGACACTCATTTTTGACCTACGTTTATATATTTATATGAGAAGTAATTTTTCCAGAGATTATTATAACCCTCTCTTCTAATTCTTGATATCAGAACAGAAATATAATCTTAAGTTTCCTGAGCCATCTATCTGATTTGTTTTGTGAAAAAAAAATTCTAGTAGAGCTTTTGCATTGTTTTTCTCTCATTGGAACAAGAACATTAATTTTTTATGTTTTTAGAAAGACATTTGAATTAATATTTGCATTATAAGGCTTGTTCACAATATAAGAAATACTCAAATAATTCACAATTTTTTTTTGAATATTCATAGTTTATGTTTTCATACTAGTATGGAGAAACATATATGTTTTTATTTTCATTTTTTTTGGCTCCTCATTTGTAATACTTAAATAGTATCAATATTATTGTAGTTAAGATAATTTTTATAATTAATAAATTTGAAACACACTGCTCAGCACTGAAATTGGCCCACTCATTAAGGACTGAGGATATATTTATGTATAATGCAAATTAGTTCCATTCAGTAAAGCTTCTGTGATGACTTCTCTCCTTAGATAGATAGTCCTCATGTGCTTTGCCATAATCAGTGAAGGAACCAGTGCTTCAGAAATGGTAGAGTGCACCACAGTGATATTAATTTTGTTAAGTATTTGCACTGCTGCCAGTGGCACTACACAGAGCAGTACATTGCAGCAATAAGTAGTACATTTCTAAGGAATTGGGATGACATGTATGATGTACTTGCTCATTAATTGGACAGTTTGATTGCAAATGTCCAGTGTATTTCTGCTATTTAATGATTGTGAATAAATCCAGAGCTATTACAGTGGATCATGAGTCCAGAAAAGCTTATTAGTATTTTAAAATCCACAGCTGTTCTTGAACACATTAAGAGCATTGTTTTGAGACTCCAGCATTGTGTATGTGAAGGTTGGGTGCTATTGAGCACTCAGGAACATAAAATGGACTTTGAACTGCACTAATGTAACTGAAATTAGAAGCTGTCAGTTAGAGCTGTCTTCTTGTCATCAACCTGCATGCATGCTTATAGGCCATTGATACTTGCCTGACAGGGAATATGGTGGCTGCAAATGAAACAGATCTGTCCTCTTGCCAAAGTGTTTGCAGAACATGGATCTAACTTTCAGAATTAAGATTGAAACATAATTCGTTGTTGAACTCTGCAGTTGTCGATTTATAATAGTGATTCACCTGATTCTGGCATCAAATCAAATGAGTGTTTACTTGCAGTCAATATCACTCAGTGTAATAGTTGCATTCTGAGATTTGCTGTAATGACTGACAGGACTGCCACTTATTTGTTGTGCAGTGGGACTGCCGCAATGTAAATTATAAATTAAATGTTGCAATTTGGGTTACAAAGGCAGGTTCTGGTTGTCTGAAGGGCATTCAAAATATAAATTTGCTCATGATAGGTACCTGACATTTTGGGTCTTGTCCAAGCATATACAACAAATCTTAAACATCTGCACAATTTCTGCCTATAAAAGCACATTACCCATTCCTCTTGCATTTTTGTTTTGTAAATATATATAATATCATCAGCTCCAGATTAATATGATTTGCGTATTTTAGGTTTGTTCACCTGCTGTGATATTGGCATGCATGTAGCTCACCTTTTGGGTGGAGTAATTTAAATGCTGAGCAGTATATTTATCGCTAGTCATGTAGATTAATGGTATGACAGAATCTTTGGTCTGGACAGAACTAAATGTAATTTGTTCTATTTTAAAGCATTAATGTAACATTTATTTCTGTTTGATATTACGTTTATGCATTTGTTGTTCTTTCTAATTTCTTCCTTTTCCTAGTTCAGCATCTTGTTCACAATTCTGCAACTCTTTTTCTTGCTCCTCTTCCTTCAACGCATTTTAGTAACATTCCATCATTCCATAATTGTCCTTCCAGAGGCTCACCATGCCAAGATTGCAATTTTTCTGTCTGTCAATCTGGGTACCTTTCTTTCGCTGGCAATGAACCGTCAGCCCACAATGGTGAGATTGCTCTTTGGCAGTTTTGGAAAAAAAAAAAAAAATGCATGGAAATTGTAACTACATTTTTTTTTCTTAATATTCCCATTGCATAAAGTTTCATTTTATGTTGAAAAAATAATCTGTTATAACTCATCTGTTGCTTTGGCTATGGAAGTTTAAAGTTTTGTTGTTTTGATGTTACGAACATCTGTAATGCAATCTTTATATATTTTTCCTTCTACTTGTTAATTTGCATTACCATGTCCTTTATCATCCATATGGCCTGGTAGTAACTAATTCTTAGGGACATATCTGTTTGGTAAGATTTAAGACCTTTAATTTGTCTTCAAAATTAAATTTTATTTGCTTGATTAAACTGAGCAATTTAAAAATAATAAATATGCTTCTCAATGAATTATATATATTTCTTAATAATATACCTAACTGATATGATTTACTGATAAATTTTATGAATATTTGCATTATTATTGAAATAAATAAAACATGTTTCTAACTTTATATACAGTACAAAGTCTGCGATCCAGACCCATCTGGACTTTGGTAATCTGTATTTGGGATTTTTTCAGATATAATCAAAAGTTTAAATCTAGTAAGAGGACATGTAGAAATTATAAAATTTAGAAGTTGAAATAGTGGCTTTTGGAATAATGAAGCATTTATGACCGTAAATGAACCAAAATTTATGAAAAAAAAAATCTCAATATTTATTTGTTTCTTTATTAAACATTTCTTTCTATGTAAGTTGATTAATTTGATTTGTTTTTTTATGCTGATACCTTCTTTTTAATTCTATAGGAAAACATAATTGTTTATTCAGTTGCAAAGTTCCATTGATCAAGTTGTGTAATTGCCATGTCAAGAATTACCATTATCTAACTGTCAATCGAACTTTTTCATTCTTAGAAACCTCTCTGTCTGTTTCTTCACTATCAGTAGCAATATTTTCCACTAAAGCTTCCACTATACACTATTGGCAATGCATCATGAGATTGCTTACCAAAGATATGATGTTCCACTAAATTTTGTCTTATTTCTGTCGCATGCTAACGAAGTTAAATCTGAATTATATTAGCTATTACACTTATGTTGAATTATATTAGTTGTTATACTTATGTCTACTTTTGACACGTGCTTAAGGCTTAGCTAAATCCCAAATAAATAAATTCTCACATAAACTTAAGTCTTATCTGGAGGAGAGGATGGAGAAGAGAGGGATGCGTCATGGAGGACTTTCTAAGGAAAAGCATATAGGCAAAATGCCCATGCAGCCAGCCAGTTCACCAGGATTGAATCTGCAAATCGAACAACCAGTGTTCATTGACTGTGCTGCTCCGCCACTGGTGGGCCCCTAAGGCTTATCCAGAACTGGCATTAGATATTTTGTGGCTCAGTGCATTCTCTATAGGTCCTATGCTGCTGCCAACTACCTTCTTAAATTTTAAGCAACTTGCCACCCTTAAATTTTGTATCCCAGTGTCTTCCCTAAATTCCAAAGATTTTGATGTCCCTTAATTCTGTTGCTCAGTGCTTCTCTAAATTCTAAAGTTTTGCTTGTCTTAAATTCTGCCACCTAGTGCCGCTGTACCAGTTCTGGGCTTGTCTGAATAAAAAATTATTCTCAATCAGTCAGCACTGAATATAATCTTTTTGGCTATGAGTAAATGAGTAACATTTGCAAAATCATTTTTTTTTTTTTTGCATATTAGAAATATATATAATTCATTGAGAAGCATAAAAATTTAAGAAATTTCTGTTAAATTTCTCATTGTCTCAGCCTTCCTCAACATTTCACAGCTGATTTAGCTTTAAAGTCTGCAACCATCGCCAAGTATAATGTCAACTTAAAAGTTTACCATGCTGTTGTGTATCCAGTTACTAAGATTTTTAAAAAAATTAGACTTTGCTGCATGAGTCATTTCTCAAGCTGCAGTGAAAGTAAAAAATAATAAAGAACTTGCCTGGTTGGCATCAGTGCCCAAGTGAAATTAAAAATCTGGACTCTCCACATGTTTTAATTGGGAAAAATATCAAATGTACAAACATAAAGCATAAAAAAAATTCAAGAAAAGAAAAAAGCATAAAAAATTCAATAAAAGAAAAGTTTGGTGATCTAGAGTTACAGATTTTGTATTAGATGTCCAGATTTTGGGCTTTGTACTGTATAAAATGCTTTCATAAGGAATGATCATCATTTTATGACTTTTGCATACTGCCTTATAAAGTTTTTTCTCTCTTATATATACAATATTTTCTTATATTTTACACTCCTACCTTGTTAACATTGAAAAGTAGGGTAAAATAGAAAATATATTAATATATAAAATTATAATTTCAGTGAAAATACTTTCTCTGCTTGAATTTAGTATTTACAAGTTTATATACTATTTATTGCTTATTTTTTAATTAGTATTAACTTATTGAGCAGTGAATTAAAATTTAGCTAAGCTGTTTATGATATTTAAATTTCTGCTAAAAATTTGCTCTATTAATGTCAAAATGAACTTCAGACTTCCATGGCTGTTATCAGATCTACAAGAATTATCTTTTTGTCCGTTAATGTAAATCTAGATATTGTATTGTTTCTGATACTTTGAGGATTAAATGCAGCTTTCCCTTAAGTGTTACATATCATGTATATGTTAAGCACAATGTTGTGACCCAAAAGATTATTCTTGTGATTGTTTTCATCTGTTCTTTGCTTTATGATCATTAATTTTTTTCCATATCAAAATAATATTTCTGTTTTTCTTCCTCCCCAAATAATAATAAAAGAATAGAAAAATATATTTTAAGAAAATTAGTTTGAGAAACATAAGTGAAGCTCTTTCACAGTTTTAAGAATAATCTCATTTTCTTAAATACTTGTTATTTATTAAATACATTTAAGGGTGAATTATTATGCATCATGTTAGATTGAAAAGTTTGAGGGAAGATTTTAAAATGCTTTCATGAACGATAATAGATTAGACAGCACTAAAAACAGGTAATATACTTAGCACTAGTTCTGGAGTGTACATATTCCATCTGCGGTCAGTACATTTACAGTGGTGGCTTTGAATTTGCAATAAAAATTGTATCTTGGTTTGTTTATCTTCATGTGCAAAGCATTGCTACAAAGCATACTGTAATCAATTCTATATCCTGACAGTTTCTGGCTACTATGTAAAATAAGTAATTTGGTTCTCTTTTTTTTTTATATTTCATAGTGTGTTCCTGAAATTTTCACTTGAACTTGATTTGTAAGCATATATATTTACCACTTCTAAAATACCAACTGACGACGATTTCAAAATTGTGCTTGTTTGCATTATGTATGTGCACAATGTATTCATAATTAAATGTGATTGTTATATCTGTACTGACATAAAAATAATAGTTACAAGACTTAGAATATATGTGAAAAGCTTGGGTTTAATATGAAAATTTTATTTTTATTCTGTTTTATTGCTGATTTTCATTTTTATCCTTTGTGATTGTTTTGTGTTTAAGTATTGCTGATGTTTAATGGATGTTATTGGAAGGCTTATTGCTTAAATATTAACTTTGAATTGTAAATATTTTTGCTTCCCTGCTAGTTTTTCTATTTTTATGTTATTAGAATAGATTCATTGTATTCATTGAATACTTTCAATCATTTTATCTTTGACATTAGTTTCTAATATTTTATAATAAAATAATTAGGCAATTTACTTTTTAAAATAACTTTTAGATATTGCCTAAAATGGAGCACACTTTTGAAACTAAGAATTATATAATTTTAAAAAAACCAGTTTTTCAGCTAAATATTTAGTTTTTGAATAACAATTGCAAGATCACATTAAAGTTTTTAAGACTGCAAATTGGCATCTTAAAGAATTGTTGCATTTTGCAAAATTTTCACCATCGTTACAAAAACTATTAAGAAATATATTGTTGAACTTCTGTTCATAAACCGGATAGCTCCAAAAATGTTACTTGAATTACTGCTGCAGAAGTTAAAAACATTTTGCAAAGAACTCTGATTTTTAAGATTATATGATATTTGTTGAGAGATGTCTTATTTTAAATAAAAATTTAATGGATTTAAGTTTGTACAACAGTTTGAGTTATTTTATTCATCTGATGAGAAAGTGGGATCTGGAAACTTTCCTGCTTCTCATAATATAGGAATATGAAATTTTATATCCTGCAAATTGTGGAGTAAAGTAATGCTTTGATTTGTCTTCCTAAATAATGTGTTTTAATGTGAATACTACTATTCAAGTAACCAGAAGTAAATTAACTAAGAATTTGCTTCAGTTAACCAAAAGTTGCAAAATTGTTCCGGTTTCTGTGGACTAGGGTGGTTTTTTACCATGCTATGAAAAGTTATTAATGCAGGGAGTAATTAAATTAACTAAGAATTTGATAAGAACATAATTCTATTCATCATCCATATGCAGTATTTTGGGTTAAAGTTGTTTTGTAAAAGTTCTTATAAACAGAGAAGTGGGATGCTGGGAATAACCAATAAATTGCCTAGTCTGTTGAAATTTGCATACAAATACCTAGTAAGGAACCTAGTAAGCACATGTTTACATGAACCATATTTGTTATGCTTGTGGGGAATGATGTACTCTTTTGAGAAGACATCAAGAATTTAAAAAAAAAAAAAAAAAATAGAAAAGTCATCTGTACATTGATTTTGTTGCAGTGAATTTTGCATTTGTACTTATTGGTTAATGGCACACTACATGAGACACTTTCTTGGGGAAAATGGCTCATATTCATGTGGCACATAGGAGAAACCACAAAATGCCCATGTAGCTGGTCTGTTTGCTAAGATTTGAATCCAAGCGAAATTAGTTCAGCAATCTTATCCATTCAGCTGCTGGGATGAGTCTCGACTTCAGTCATTAGTTTGTTTAGCTCAATTCCTTAATAATTTCAGTTCAGGAATTAGAGGAGCAGTATTGTGAATTTTGACATCATGGTAGGAAACTAAGTAAGTCATTAGACTTTAAACGCTTAAATCTTTTTTTGAATAACACATATGCATTGATTTTATTGCAAAAATTCTTCTCTCGGTTTATTAATAATTTCAGTTTAGGAAATAAAAGAGGCAGCATTATGTATTTTATATTTTTACATCCTTGAAAACAGTATACTCTTATTCTATAAACTGAGTCTTGTAGTTTAATATAGACCAGTAAGAAGCTAAATGTCAGGAAATATTTAAAAGAGAAAATGCTGGAGGTTGAAAGTTCATTGTGACTTGTATAAGTTGCTGGTGGTCGTTAATCTCAGTAAGTATTGTTGTATTGAATAAGTCACTGTCATCTATGTAGGAAAAGGGAAATATATCACAACTGAATCAACTTCAAAACATATTTTGGAACACACTTTTAGAGCTTATGTTATCAGTTATAAAAGTTGTTCACAGAAAATTCAGTGCATATATGACGAGTACCAGAAAGAAATCCTGAAATGATGCTTACTGAATAGAAGTACTGCGATTTTAGTGCACTTATATTCTTAAAATAGTTTTGTTATAGCATATAATTTATGATAAAAAAGCAGATCATATGTTTTCATATCACTTTCGAATCATATATTAATCATCTGACAGACAAATTTTTACAAAGAGAAATTCAAAAGGGAAGGACAAATATCTGATCCTAAAAGTGCTTTTCTTTGGTTTTCTTAAAGTTTTACACTTTAAGTTGTATTATATTAAAAGATTAAGAAAGACACCAGGACTATGTGTTTAGAAAGGTATGTTTTCACTTAGTACTTTCTAAGAGAAATTCGCTGTCTCATATTTACATTGTGTATTGGGGGGGGAGGAATCAAAACACCATGGAGCCTTCTTCACTGGGATTTGAACATTAGTCAATCTAAGTTTTTGGTAGGTCACTCACCTTTTTATACCATTTTAATACATATTTGTGAAATAATAAATAAGATTTAATTTATTGCTAATTCATAATAGGTTATAATCCCATTTATCCTGTTTTTACATTGAATTATGTTTCTATTTTGCATTAATATTCTGCAAAAATATATAAACAAAAAAGTATAGAAACAGATAATCATATATCATTATCAAGAGTTATAGTGCTTAAACTCCACAGTAATAAAATCATACATTATTATCAAAAGGTTATAATTATAAAAAAAAATCCATTTCCTAATATTATACCTGTGTTGTTTTCAAATGCTGAAAAATTATTTGATATTTTTTTGGGGGGGGGTTTCTAATGTTATATCTGTGTAGTTTTCAAATACTGAAAAAGTATTGATCACCTGGTCAAATCTGCTATCATATTTCTTTAAAGCATTTTGTAATTACAGGATTTATTTTCTAATGATAATATATATCATTTATTGTTCAAATGAAAAGTGATAACATATATTATTCAAATTATCTATTTTAGGATCTCTGGCAAACATTCCATTTGTTTGCAGCCAAAGGTCTGGCTTCAATGTCAACTTTGGAACAATGAAGGAGATCCCACCAGCAGATTTAAAGACTGTTGCATCATCAAGTGCTATACTGCAACGTTCTAATGCATTTCATTTTGACCTTCCTTCTGAACCTTCCCTTTCTGAAGGAAAAGACACTGGAAGTTCATTTGATGATAATTCCCCTGAAGAAGGCAGCTATCTTGTTGATAATACCAGACCAGTATTCACAGTTGGAGGAAGGTTAGAATTTTACTTTGATAAATTAATGCAAAAGTTAAGCTTATCTACTGTAATTACATGAATGAAATTTCCTTATTGGCTTAAGTTTTTAATGAAGATGCATGGCTGATCCTAGTGGGAGGCAAGATGGTGGCCTCCCACTAGGATCAGCTACATGGAGGATCCACATGGGTGGCCAAATTTAAGGGCAGTGAAATTATTATAAAAAATATTATATCTCTGTAAAAAATGGGCGGCTGATATTAATTTGCACGTGGGTGGTCGTGGTCTAGGATCGGCATTGTGCAGATTTATATTTTTTTATTTGTAATTTATAACTGTAGAATGTGTTAAATTGTTTATTTAGCTGGATTTTTTTTGCTATATTTGCATTCCTCCCTCCCGAAATTTTGACATTAAATATTAGGTTTTTTAATCTGCAGATTTCAATAAATATAAAATGGTCTTAAATAAATAAATATTTTTTTAACATCTACAGAATTTTTATATCATCTCAATTTTAGTGAGCATGTTTTCAGTTGTATGTACGTTATTAAATAGTACAGATGTCTTGTTTTGAGAGCACAATATTGCTGCATTTCATGAATTTTTCAAGCACAGTTGTTTTATCATTATTACATATTCTAATGGATCAAAAAAAGTCTTGGGGGCCCTTGTCATTTAAATTATGGCAAATACTCTAATAATTTGGTTCTTTGATACCTAGCAATAGAAAACACTTTTTTAAAGTTTCCATGTGTTTTGTTTCTAAATTGCTTGTAAATTCTCTGCTGTTTACTTTCAGCATTAATTATGATAATAATGCATGTGAGTATATCTTCTATATTATTTTTAGCATAAATTTTGATGCCTGTGTACATGAATGTAACTTTCATATTTGTTATAACTGATGAGAAATTTGATATCACTCTCTTTTCTTATTTAACACACATGATGTGAATTTATTTCTAAATTGGGAAGAGCTGCATGTAAATTTTCATACAAGATATTTCAAAGCAAATTAAAATTTCCATCTTTTAACAGAAATTGCTCAAATGTGGACGACATTGTGGGTATATGTTAATCAAAGTATTGCTGTCAGCAGCCTGAGTTTCATTTTCTGCTGTACTAATTAAATTTTATGCATTGCTGTTATGTCATACATGCATATAAAATCTTGTTATGTATTTTCTGCCTTGGAAAATAAAGCTAAATAACAAATGCCAGCCATTGGAAGAAATTTGATGAAATAAGTGTTAATGAAGGGTGGATCTATCTCTGACATCTTTTACGGCCAGTTAGGGTTCTAGATGTAATCTATATCAACGTTACAGCTTTTTCTCTGTTGCAAAATGAAGTAAAATCTAAAAGGGTTGTTTGGAGCATTTCTCAGTTCATAGTGAAAATTAATGTCTAAACTATTTAAATCTAAATAGTCTTCATAATGTGAGAGATTCCAACAAAACATAAGATACAGACTTAATAAAACTGATGATTCAGATATTGGGTGCATATTAAAAGCTGATTTAAAATATCCAAAAGAACTATATGATAAACATTCAAGTATTTCCTCTGTCCATGAAAGTAGAATTTCAGATGGCTCTAGAGAATCTAAATTACTGACGATTTTATGATACAGAACTTTGTTGTTCATTATAGAAACTTAAAACAGTATTTAAAAATAGGTTTAAGATTGCAAAAGATTCCTAGAGTATTAAAATTTAAACAATCTACTTGGTTAAAGCAGTATATAGATGTGAATACAGAAATGAAAGCTAAAGCTTCTAATGATTTTGAATAAGACTTCTCTGAGCTGTGATGAATAATTCAGCATTTGGGAAAACACTAGGAAGATAATTAATCTAAAATTGTGCTGAAATTTTGAAAAAGCTAATTGTTAAACCAAACAGAGAACTAACTATATTTAATGAAAATTTAGTTTATTATTCATATGAATAAAAAATAAGGTTACCTTTAATAAACCAGTCTTATGTTGGAATCAGTATAGATTTATCAAAGAAACTAATGTATGACTTTTTCATTATAATATTATTAAACCTAAATATTTGGATAAAATTGAGCTACTGTTATGGATGCTGATAGTTTCATGTATTTTATTAAAAATGGTGGTGATTTTTATGATGATCTGGAAGATATGACTGATTGTTTTGATACATCTGATTGTCCCCCCCCCAAAAAAAATGGTAAAAAAATTAATATAATATTCCACAAGTAAATAAGAAGGTTTTATTATTTCCCTGTACCGATGACAAGCGCTATATTTTAGAAGATAGAATTGTCATGTGAACATTAGATCATTCAGCTTGGTATCTTACTCTAAAACTGAAGGATTTAGATCCAGAAAAATATAAACTGATGGCTTTGAAACACATCCAATCAAAATATGAAGATTTAACAGTAGCTAACTTAGCAAATGATGAAAACATTTTTTTTTTTTTTTTTAAATATCATGGTAATCTCTCTGATAAAGCCATTGAACAAATAGGGGAGGTTATATTTTTAATTTCAAAAGAAAAATTAACATTAAATATTAGGATTACAAATTGGAAAAGCCCTTTCTTAAAAATGACAATTTATAAATAGATGTTGGTTGGATGGAAGTTACGAGAACAGGTAAATTATCTGAAAGTTTGATTAGAAATTTTGAAAATGCTGTGGTTTGGATAATTATTTCAGTATCAGATATTATTGGAGCCTTTTATCATATCATACAATATGAAGAAAGTAGATTAGCATAATATTTCTGCAGATCAAAGACTAACAGATAGATTTCTCATCATGAATAAATAATTCATTGAGATGTTGTATGTAGTTACCAGATGTTATTTAAAAAGTTTAATGATTGAAATGTCAATTTTTTAAAACTGGATTAGCAAAACAATTCAGAATTTCAAATTGTAAGTAATAATTTCACTGTTGAGAATTCAAGAAGATTAAATATGACATTAGTTCCTAGATATAAAAAAATTATTGGAAAGTACACTTGAAAGATGTTATAGATTGGAATGAGGTTTTCAATTGTTCACTTTCAAAAAGTAAATATATTGATAAAATAAAAGATTATGACGTATTGAAAACGAACTCGTCTAAAAAGTTGTAAATATTATTTTCTAGAAAGTGGTTTTAATGTATTTAGCTAAAATTTGTTCAAAAGTCTTAATTTTTAATTGAGGGCATCCCATTTTGAGACATCTTTTTTAATGCTTTTATTTATCCTTTTTATATATATATTTATTTTTTATTTTAATCATTCTTCCATTTTTATTAGAGATTTATAACTTTTTATCATTCATCCATTTTTATACATCATAAATTTTGATTTTTTATCATTTGTTTTTGTGAGGTTGCTTATTGTTTTTAAATGTAGAAGTTATCATAATTTTTTATGCATTTTTTATCGTTTGTCTTCACTGTGTTTATTAAAAAAATTTCCTTGATTTCCAAGTTTAGGTAGTGAATAATGAGAAAATCTGAAAGCAATGAAAAATTGCTAATTTAGACTTTTAATGTTTTATATTCATTCTAAGGGTGCTTTTTAGGAAAGTTTAATTTTTTCTCATTTCCCTGAATCGTGCTCATTTTGGGGGGTGTCCTTTTTTCAAAACATTTAAAAATTATTTTTATTCTTATTATTAGAAAATTTGAAGTTTGAGCTGGTATAATAGGTGGCAGAATCTGAAAGTTATCAAAATTGTTCATTTGGATGTATTTTAAATGCTTTATATCCATTTTTAAGGCTTTAAAATTAGAAAATTTGAAATTGTACCTTTTTCATTATTGTGTCATCACTCGATCATTTATAAACTACTTATACTTCCAGTTGCAGACATTTTAATTGATGTTTTGGCACTTTTAAATAAAACCAATATTGTAAAAAATGTGAAATATAACTTTGTATGTGTTCCACTAGTGCCTATACTCATATTTATACCTCAGCTGTGGCCGAAACATTAAGAATTCTATGCTGGATGCATGCTTGGTTTTAATGGTCATGAGTAACATGAATACAAATCAAGTCCCCTTAAAAAAATCATCTCCAAAAGTCATCCTTTGCTCTAGGCAGATAACCTTTAAGTGCTTTGCCACATTCAAATAACTTAGCCTCATTATAGAAAGTATGACCAAAACTGACCAAAATATTTAGTTTTAAAGTTTGACATCATAATGAGAGACTGTACACATAGTGAAGAATGAAGTGTTTGCACTTTTTCTCAAATAAAAGTAAAGTATCAGCTTAGGAAATTATAGCTGATGTTATCAGATTATGTGATGGCATTTCTTTTCGTGTTATTTTGAAAATTATTGGTCAGTATTAATTTTTTTTTTCAAACGAGTGCTCTTACGACAAATAAGAGCACTCGTTTGAAAAAAAAAAAAAAAAAAAAAAAAAATGAATACTGACCAATAATTTTGGTCTTAAATCTTAAAGAATTCTTTTTCTAGAAAATACTGGTATATTTCAGTATTTCATATTGCCAACTTATATAACCTTAATTACATAAATTAAAACTGAAACATGTTTCTAGTTTAATGAATTTTTATATGATTTTTAGATCAGGATTTTTAAGGTAATAAAACTGCATGGGAATATTAATAACACATTTCTAACATTTCAAAACAGATTATTTTGTGGAAATATTTTTGGCATACTAATTGTAGCAAAATTACAAATTAAAGAATATTGCACACTGTTAAACCACAAAAGAATGTAAATTAATGACGTTTAAAAAAATTAAATTCCAGCTTTAATTATTTTAACTATGTATTAACCAACTCCTTAAGGCAAGTTGAAATTGACATCAAAAATCACAGTTTTTGAAATTAAATATCTCATTCAATTTTTGTTATATAGGAGTCATGTTTTGTGTTTTGCTTTCTATAATGAGTATTCCATTTTTCTAAATATAAGTATAGAGACTGGGGAGGGGAGGAATATACATAAAAAATTAAGTTTCTTATTTTATACTTATTTATACTTTTTTTTTTTAAATTTAAAAGTA